ATGTGAATATGACTGAAAAATTTCATTTTTCTGAAAAGGTGGTGTCTATTTACTTGTGACCACGCTGTGTATGTTTAAGAAATACGTTTTTACGTCACAAGTAAAAATAGCAGCCAACAATTTTTTTTAAACTGTTGAAATATATCTTGCAACATTTAACAAGACTATAAGCCTGAACTTAAGAAGAAACCCAAAGTTCATCTTCAAAAGCTCGGACCAAATCATGATATCGGTAACATGTACAAATTAGTATTAATGTTTCTATCTGTCCATTCGTAACAGGATCACGACAATTTATTGTTGTCCATGTGCTGCAACGTCCTGCCCGACATAGTCAAATGATTGCAAAACCTTTTTAAATCCTAAATTTGTAAAAGTTCTAGATGTATTCTTTACTGATTGGCCACTTTATTAGGACTCATTTACAAATCAGGATGAGCCAATATTTGCTTTGAATGATAATCTAAACTCTGGATTGTGTTGCCCAAGCAAAATGGATGAAGATGTTGGACAGTACGAGCGTGGTGAATTGTTGCATCATTATCTAGGAAGAGATCTTATCTGTGATGCTGAAAATGCAACATTGTTGGGTGAAGATGATCGACAACAAAATTATAAAATCTCTGGTCTTATATTACTTTCTAAAAAGAATCAAAGGACCCAATCCCTAACACGAGAACGTTCTCCACACCATTACACCACTTCTAGCAACTTTTGCTATTGGAACAGGCAGGATGTAACGTCTTATGTGGTTTTCTCCATTTCTGTGATATAGGTCAATAAAGAGAAGGATGTGAGAACTCCAACTACATCACACGTTTCCAGTCATTCATTGCCACACTTTGCACTAAAAGCACCAATAAATGCATGCTATTCTCTATGGTTTTGAGACATGAGAAGTGAGTGTCGTCTATCATATGATAGTTTTTGTGATGCACTAGTTTGAGAATAGTAGAATTTTGACCTCTATGAATGGAATATATTCGATTTTTGTTACAATAGAAATGACGTGACCATATCTTCAAATAATTTTATAGTACGCAAGATCAATTTTGCACATACGAACATATGGAAACTGTCTGTATTTGGAAGCCCTAAAAAAGCGGCAGACAGCTACCATTCCGGCAATAACGCCGCGACCATAAATATTAAATCTATACACGACTATATTCGTCACCTATATATACCTATATACTTCTCAAGAAATATTAAGTAAATTTTGACTGTGAGTTGTGAATAAGGTTGGGACCAGCCTGTAAGCCGTATATGGGTAAACGTTTCTAGAAGTTTCTAGAACGTATGATTAAAAAACCTCCAAAGTAAATAGACCACACATAACAGATAGTGATGCATGGCAGCGGATAGGTAAAATTACTTTACAATAAGACTGAAAAACCATTAACTATCATCATTATAAATGCAATTTACAATACATTTCTCACTAAAGTATTAAATTAAGGTAAAACGTTAGAAGATCTAATGTTCGTTGCTTTCATTCCATCAGAAAAACTGACGAGTTAAAATGTACTTTTTTGACACTTTTTCCAATCTGCAACTTACCTGAATGAAACGCGATATGACAGGGTCTTCATAGAACTGTTCTCTTATCGTTGTAGCCCAAGTCTGTACAAAATGAGCTACACGTCTTTTGCTAGCTATTATGAACTCAGTCTCCTGGCGAGAGTTAGTAACGTCAATATTATAGGTTTTTCTGTTAAGGCTGTTATTCAGCAAAGTTAACCATGGTAAAAAATGAAAATAGATAATAAACTATAAGTTATACTAAAAGGAAAGTGAAGCAGCGTCTTGAGATACATGTATCAATAATTACACAAGTCTGCGAATTTAAAATTCATAAAAGTTGCTTTGGTTTTAATAACGAATTTTCCATAATTCAGCTACGCAGATTTCGAAACTAATATTAATTTTTTTACTATCATGTAAGGAATTTTTACAAATCAAGAAGAAAAACTCTTACTTAGATCAAATTATTATTTAGTTTATTACAATGAACATTTTTTATCATTATGTTTGTTAACAAAAATACAAACAAACTGAAGAAAAGGGATGAACACTAATGTGAAACGAATATGCATCTTCATTCATCCTGATTTGATTTGTGTCTGTGTAAAATCTACGCTTTTAGTCTCAAATGTAAGTGTTGTGGTCTTTATTTTATGTATTGCGTTCCGAAGTTTGTGAAAAATCTGTACGTGATGGACAAAAATGGATATCATTTTCGGATTCAACGTACAGGAATTACTGTAGAACATGTAAAAATATCAAAACAATAAAACCATCGCAGGCCTGTGTTAGTAACAAAACTCAGTAAGGACGATATTTATGTCCAATTAAAACACTCTTTAAAAAGCTATACAAACTTTTGAAAAACATTCAAGATAAATATGCATTCTACAGACTCGATAAAACCACAGTAATGAAACAAGTCACAAACATTCGCGATAAAACCAAAAATAATCATTCATTTACTTGATAAAATAAAACAAAAATCACAAATAATCCAAAGAATTTGGAATTAGAAATAGTAAGAAATCGATTTTGGTTATAAGGTTTCTTAGTACCAACACTCTTTACGTTGCATGCAACACTTTTTTCTATATTCATCATAAACTATTCTCTGATGAATTTATTGGTTAATTAATCATTCACATAAGAATTCATGTACTTGTGACGGATTTATTATTATATATTTATTTTAATATCAACGTTTGTTTAGCTTAAATTTATATATAGAAACATACATAGCTTATAGTGTTAAATATGTATTGTGAAACTCCCGCTTATCCTCTAAAGTTGTAGAAGGTTCTCGAGTGTAAGAATCAACAATATATGTGTGTATGTAAACACTTAATGTAGCTTTGTATTGTTACGTAATCTGAATTTTTCTAGAAACTATCCACACGCCTATAAATATAAACAACGCGACGTGCCAAAAAAAGAGTATCTATTATTAGTTTGCTACAGTCAGTGTGCTATAAACTTCGGAAGCTATAACTGTGATTGTTATAACGCTTATCAGTGGGAAAATTCAGATATTTGACAAGGAGCATTTACAAAGTTCGAACATTACAAATCATTTAACTTCAGTAGATTCTCATCAGACATTAGTATTTTTACGAAAACATTATATAACTTCATCGTGGAAAACTCGGCATGTGTGGCTGGTGAATAATGAAGGACAAAGCTAGTTAGCTCCCCGTTAAGCGAATCGTACCTACATCAACTCGTAATTAACTCGCTCATCGTGAACCCTCGATATCAAGGAAGTTCCAGAGTAGAAATATATTTTTGTATATAAATCATTTTGTGTAATAACTGTTATTGTTGTTTGTATATTAAAACATATTTGTGTTAAAAAAAAACTGTGTGTATCAATCTTGTTGGCAGATATCATACATTGGAGATATATCGGCATATATTTAACTACTTAATGTAAAGTAACAGGTAACTCAGTTTTAGACCTTTCGAAATCATAATACGTAATATACTATATACACCTGTAAATAGTTTATCTATAAAATACACCACCCTACACTCTTTTTCTATGTGGAACATTTTTAAGGTCCAGCTTAAAATCTTAAATACATTAATAATAAGACTTCTTGTAAAAATACTATGCTCGCTAACAAGTTCTACGTGTTATAAAGTGTTTCATTACCCGGTCAAGTCGTCTCCAAACTTTTATTTTCTACATATTCTCATTAGCAGTTTTGTGTACATAACATATCCTATCTACTATATTCCAGTAGTATTTCTGTTGACAATTTCTAGCTTTTATCTTAATATAACTTCCTAAACTGAAAATTATTAAGCACCATCTAAACAACCTACTGATTGTTCATTCTTAGATTGAAAATAGCCAAGTTGTTAGCGTGCTAATCTGCAGTCAAGAATGTCCAAGGTTCGATCCTGATGTGTAGTTGAACATTCTCCGTACTTTCAGCTACAGGGACTTAGTGTTAACTGTGACAAGAAACATGCCGTTTGGTTAAGAGTAGATGCACATACGTCTTGTGCTGCTGATTAGCTCCTTCCATCTGGTCAGCAGTTCAAACCTATAGCTAAGCCCTACGGAACTCTCATGTGGCTACTTAAATTGTATGTCGTATAATGTGTTTTTCAGGATGAAAATACCATTTACGGTTTTTTTGTCTTTGGTTAAAATTGAGTTTATTGAACATAATTTCGTAATTTGTAAATATACAGAGAATAAAACGTGAGACGGCATCCAAGTCCACCAGTACAGCTGCTGCATTCAGATTTGGAGACTGAAATATTATAATGTAGTAGTGGCCTGCTTATATATATGTTTATACATACATATATACATGCTCATGTACAAGCAGATACAGCCTTAAATTTTTTAAAAAATTGCGAAATATTTCGAAACGAAACAACACCCACAAGTGTAGGCACTGAACAAGCATTTTTTTTTTATTTCGTATTGATATAATCTATGCAGAGATACAAATAAGCCATCCGGAATGCAATCATTGCAAGTCATAGGATTATGTGTATGTGGAGGTTTATTTAACCATGTCATATCTAAACAGTTTTTAAGAAGGCATGATCGGAAAAGTGGGTAATAAAATTTGTCTGAATTGTGTAAAAATATTGCCATATGCTTAAGCATCTTCGCAAAAATTTACTCAAAATAATTATTATTCTACCCCTCTAAATATATAATGTACGGACATTATTCCTCTATTTGTCCTCTTCTGAGTATTTGTATGTACAAATTGTTATTGCTAGTTTTAACTTGCACAGCATCTTATTCGACACTTGGGCTAAGTGACTAGGTCAGATTCAGGGATAGCCGTCCTTAATTCAGAACTGCTGATCAAAAAGAAGACAATCAATTGCAGCAATCGCCGCCTGCACGTTTACTCGTGACTGAATAGTGAAATCGACTATGACAGTTATACGGTTGAAAATACAGTGCGTTTTGAGTGATATATCGCTGCTCGAACCTACAATCTTCAAATCCACAGCTCGGTACGTTAACCATTAGGCCACGACCCGTCCGTGCATGTACAAATACATTAACTCATGACGGAAAATAAGGACTTGTAATTACAACTGACTGATTTTAACCAAAAACCATCATTGTATTTACAATGAACTAAAAACCTCAGAGTTAATAATTATATTTCTTCGTCTTCAGTTAATAAATATAAATTCTGAGTTGAAAAATAAGAAATTTTAGAAGCAGTTTTTAAATTGAAAATAATAAGGAAAATACAGAATGCGCATAAGAAGTTATGAAAACGGAAAATATCAGACTGTTACTATATCTTAGAAATTGAACTGAAATCGTCAAATAATAAATATAGTGACACAACTTACGGTCCTTTTACTAACAAACTAGTGACACGAAGTATGGTCCATTTACTTATAAGTTAGTAAACTGTCATTGTGATACGAATAATGGTCCTTTTACTTATAAGTTAGTAAACAGTCATTGTGATACGAATTATGGTCCTTTTACTTATAAGTTAGTAAACTGTCATTGTGATACAAATTATGGTCCTTTTATTTATAAGTTAGTAAACTGTCATTGTGATTCGAGTTGTGGTCTTTTTACTTACAACATAGTAAACTGTCATTGTGATACGAATTATGATCCTTTTACTTATAAGTTAGTAAACTGTCATTGTGATACGAATTATGGTCCGTTTACTTATTAGTTAGTAAACTGTCATTGTGATACGAATATCAAAAGCAGATGTCTGAATATGATTGATTTCCGTATAAAAGTGTTAAGATTTAGTACCATTTATGAACATACATAAAGAGATGTTTCCACAAATAACACAGAGAACAGAAAATTAGTTTTCAATAAGTTTCATAATTAATTCTTAATTCCAGTGAACACTCATAAAGACTAAATTAAGAGTCCTTGAAGATGCAGCATACATTAAAGGATATTGTTTCTTTAGTTCGGAACACAGCTGGTGATTGGGCATAAACATTATATGGGTTAGTAGAAAATCTTCCAAAAAGTTGTCTTGTGAAGACGGTTCTGAAAAAATACCGATAATTCTCATTGACAGATAGATTTTACTATTTTGTGATAGATTGAATATATTATTCATTAGATACAATGGTTTTGATTGTTTTTGCAACACTTAATGAGAGTATCCATTACCAAATTGCTCTTATCTTTAAATTTCCAACTGTAACTTTAGTTGTAGTAACAAAAATGTACCTCCAGTTTCTTCTAACCTAGAGTCAACTCGAGTTTCTAGAAGGTGTTCCAACATTTTCTGTGGTGTTCCCGCAATCACAGTATATCTATGCTCAAAAGAAGAAACAACAGAAATTATTTAATAACTATACATATTGTTGTAAATGTAGCAAGCTGACACAATTATATGAAGAAATGGGAAGTTTTGCTTTGCGTCTTTGAAAAAAAAGCAAGAAAAATTACGTTATTCGTTGTAATACAAGAACGGAAAAAGCAGAATTTTTACCAAATGTTTAGCTGTAGCAAACGTTATTAAAATTTTTGTCCTATATTTAATAGTGAGAAAGGTTTGCCTTCATAATACTCCTAATTTCTCATAAATCATTCACAAGGAACTGGCATATAGAAAACGAAGCTACACATAAGATTTAACAAATCAACTTCTTATCGAATTTTGATCTCTTAGAATTATGTGAAACACCAGAACATTCATAAACTAGCACCTAAAACAAAAATGAAAACTTACTTGTAATGGGAATGAGCTCCCTCAGCCACCCGTCCATCACTTGCGATCTTCTGGAGAAGAAGCACATCCTGGCCATGTTCTTTTAGCCGTACAGTATTAGCTTCAACGTCCTGGAGGCATGCAAAATAAATGACAGCTCAATAAGGTAATACAACAAAGAAATTCAACTTATAACAAAAGTTATTGTTAAAAATGTATTTTTATTTAGACCTATCCAAATAATTATAATAAATATTTCAATTTTCTCATAAGTTATTCATTTAAAAGCATCTTTTGTTTTGATCGTTTCCGTGTTACAAAGAAAAGAACGTCTTTATAATTTTCAAAATATAACCATTGATTTGCGTTTGAAGAACTACCCGCTTAACTTACGAACAATATGAAGTTTTGAAACAGATATTTGTTGTATAATACATTTATTTCTGTAAAACGTTTCGTCTTTAATAGTAAGATATCATCGCGTATAACATTTAAGATACCTTGTACAGAAATAAACCTATTAGCCGACAAATAGCTGTTTCAAAACTTCATATAACTGCTGACTTTTGTTCGTCTTTATTAATTTTTGCACAAAAAGTTTTGATCTATTAACGTGAATTTTCGTCAGTCGAAAAGTTGAATGGACAAATATGTTATGGATGAATAAATACGTTAAACGGAAGGGTATGTAGGTATAAGATTAAAAACGAACATACGACGTTGAATTGTTGCATAATAAAACTGGTTTAAATAAAAAATACGGCACAGTTCTAAAAAAACTAATACATGTTTCAGCATCGCTCTATGTTGCCTTATTCAGGAGTAACAGTTAAAATCAGATACTTACTCGTATACCTACAGTTTAAATAAATCTACAATTACACCTTCAGCCCCATGTCAACCACAAGCACAATTCTACCAAACCTTTCTGAAGAGCTTACAAAAACATATTTCCAGAATTTTTTCATTTCTCCCGAATCTGGACCAAAATCTTTATTCAACAAATATTTTATTTTTATTTTTACCGATTCTCTTATATCTATTTACTATTTAAACTCCACCTGATCCACCATATTAACATATTCCCAGCTTATAATGTAAGACGTGTAACATAAATTATCCGCCATTTCTCCCTTTGTATTTAGAGCAGTGAAAATCTGTACTTATTATTGTGTCTTAAAATATGTACTTAGGAACAGAAGTTATGATTACTGATGGTTATATAAACAACATCGCAATAAATTAAAAATCCCAAAATGCACCAGGTTACAAGGAAATGGTGGAGTTAATTGCATGAGGTTTTGCTTGCCATATATAGTCATTGCCATATATAGTCATGACCATCGAACAAGACTAAATAACATAAAAACATGGAGATTGAAGGATAACCTTATTTTCACTTAATAATTAAAATAATTCTCACACAGTTGAAAAAGATGAAATATATAGGTAATAAATGTGGCATTTACAAAATTCCTTGTGTCTGTGGCCGAGTTTGTATTGGTCAAACGTGTAGAAACTTGAAATTCAAAATTAAACAACATAGAAATAAGAAAGAAAAAATTAAAGTGTATAACTCGTTTTAGCAGAAGATGTGATAAGCTCTTATCACGTTATTGATTCGAAAATGTTAAATTGATGAATCAGGTTAAGTGGTAACTAAATATTAGAGAATCAAAAAATTAAGATTTTTGGTTCAGGTGTGGAAGAAATGAAATTCTGGAAATCTATTTCGTAAACACTTCGGAGAGGGTTGGAGAAATTGTGTTCACGGTCGAGATGGCGGTTACGGTGAAAGCTAGATTTATGTAAACTGAAAGTGATGCAGATATACAAGTCATTATCTGATTTTAAACTCTTACTCCTGGTGCAGAGTCTTTTCAAGGGTTGTGCTCTGACTTTACTAAAGCTAATTTTAGTGTGCAACAACTTAACTTTGAATGATCGTTTTTAAGATATTATACATGAAGTATTTTATTTATTAAATATAATAAACTCTCCAAGAAGAACTTCTCTTAAACAATCGATAATTCTATATCATAATATAACTAATGAAAGCTTTAATCATATCATTCTTTACTTCAGAAAATAACAATATATATTTGACCTAAAGCATGTTGGATGCTGTTCTCATCGGGGGGTTTCCCCCAGTAAAAGAGCTAAACAGGCTGGTTGGGCCGCATCACTATCCAGACGTAACATTACACTGAGTATATGCATATATATTAAGGGACAATTCTTTGTTAGTTTAGGCGTCTTACGCAGTGACCGGGGTTTTGTTAACCAACACTTTCGCAATAAAAATGTCTATTATTATTTTAAAAAATGTAAAATTAATGTGACTATAGGAATTTTATATATCAAATATGATATTATGGTACAGTTTTATAAACGCTAAGAACTCGCGTCAAGCGGAAATACTTAAAACAGTTAAGTTTATAAATGTATATATATATATATAGATAGATAGATAGATAGTTAGATAGATATAGATATTATATTTCATTGTAAAAATAGGAAGGATGGCAAAGCTACTTGCGACTTTATGACAAGAAAATAAATCCCAGTTCCATATTTTCTCTTCGCTTCCTAACGAACGAAACATGGATAAAAAAAGGGAGTTGTAAAGATACAATACGAACCCGCAGAATTCTGTTAAAGTCGTCTTTATCCACACGAAGAAAATGGCAATTATCCTCTCGGGTAACAATAGTGGCTGCCCTAAAAACACAGCAGTATCACCTTATCACCACCATGCGATGGCAGAGTAAACACAATCAAACTAACCATCACTTAATATAAAATATTCTAGTGACTAAAAATAGATTTGTTAGGAAAGATGTAGCTGTTAACATTAGATCAATAACAATGTTCACTCATCGTTGTATAGGTTGTTATTAAAGATGTAGCTGTTAACATTAGATCAATAACAATGTTCACTCATCGTTGTACAGATATTATCAGCAATGCCATATTTTTTATGTCATAGTGTCTTTTAACATACAAGCAAATTTAGAAGGATCTACCCATGATGTCCTTGTGCTTTCCAATATGTGATGAGGTTTAGCATTGTCTATACCATTATTGTTCATTGGGTCTTCCAATATATTAAGTTTTATACATACTACCAACACTTCTTTATACAGCACATCCTTCTAAAGCATGATGAAGCTTAGTGCTGTTTCCAATTGAGGTTATTGTTTCCTCCAGTGTAAGACGTGGTACATCACACTAACATACACTATACGATTAGTTTTAGCATCACGTGCTCTTATTTATTTCACTATACTTTAGAATATTTGATGGAATATACCATCATCAAAACTCCCTTATATCAGTGTGGCTAACAATACATGTTACATGAGGTAGAATATCATTAACATTTTTTTATATATATATGCACCCTAAAGTATACAATGACTGACCACTTTCTTAGGACCCCCAACTTAATATGGGCTTCGCCCACTCTTCTTGTGATAATAGCCTAGATTCTGCGTGTCACAAACTCCGTAAAATATTGGAATTTGTCTTGTTCGTTTAGGAGCATTATTGTCTGCAACTGCTTCTCAGCTGTTGGTCGAAAATCATAAAGGTGAAGACGACGTTAAAGATTATTCCAAAGATGGTTAATCAGATTGTGATCCGGTAACTGTACTGGCCAAGAAACATAGCTGAAGTCAATGTCATGCTTATCGGCTTGTGATCCGGTAATTGTACTGGCCAAGAAAGATAGTGAAATCAATGCCATTTAATCAGTTCGACACCCTGTAACTGTATACGTCAGGAAAGATTGTAGAAATCAATGTCATGCTTCGTCAGCTTCAGATCCGGTAACTGTATAGGCAAAGAAAGACAACTGAAATCAGTGTCATGCTTCATCATCTTGAGATCTGATAACTGTACAGGCCAAGAAAGACAGCTGAAATTAGTTGCATTCTTAATCAGCTTGAGATCAATTAACTTTACTAACTAAGAATGATACATGAAGTCAATGTCATGCTTAATCATTTTGAAATCCGGTAACTGTACAGGCAAAGAAAAATAGCTCAAGTCAATGTCATGCTTAATCAGCTTGAGCTCAGGTAACTGTATAGGCCAAGAAAGATAGCTGAAATCAATGCTATGCGTAATATGCTTGAGATCCGTTAATTGTACTAGCCAAGAAAGATACCAGAAGTAAATTTCCTGCTTAATTAGCTTGTGATGCAATAACTGTACAAGCAAAGAAAAATGCGTATAGTCAATGTCATGCGTAAAAAGCTTGAGATCTGGTAGTTGCCCAGGCTAAGAAAAATAGCTGAACTCAATGCCATACCTAATTAGCTTGAGATACAGTAACTGTACTGGTCAAAAAAGATATTTTAATCAATGCCATGTTTAATAAGCTTAAGATTCGTTAATCGTACAAGCCAAGAAGGATATATGAAGTCAATGTCATGCTTAATCATTCTGAGATTCGGTAATTGTACAACTGAAAAAAGATAGCTTAACTCAATGTCATGCATAAATAGCTTAGTATCTGGTAGTTGCCCGGGCTAAGAAAGACTGCTGAAGTCAATTGCATACTTAATCAGCTTGAGATCAGTTAATTGTACTGGCCTAGAAAGATAGATTAAATCACTATCATGCGTAGTGAGCTTAAGATCCGTTAACTGTACTGGCCAAGAAAGATACATGTGATCCAGAAACTTTACTGGCCAGGAAAATTTCAGTCAATTTCATGCCAGTTTGTGATTCAGTAACTATCCACGATAAGAAGAATAGGTGAAGTCAATGTTATGTTCGGCTTGTGATCCTGCAACTTTACACGCAAAGAAAGATAGCTTGTGTCAATGCCATGCTATTTTTTAATTAGCTTGTGATATGGTAACTGTACAGGTCTTAAAAGATAAGTGAAGTCGGTTTTATGCGTAATGAGCTTCAGATCCGGTAATTGTACTGACCAAGAAAGATAGCTGAATCAATACCATGCTTAATAAGTTTGAGAATCGTTAAATCTACTAACCAAGAAAGATACATGAAATCAGTGTCATGCTAACTCAATTTAAGATCCGGTAACCGTACAGATCAATCAAAATGGCTTAAGTCAATGTCATATATAAAAAGCTTGAGATCTGGTAGTTGTACAGGCCAAGAAAGACAGCTGAATTCAATGTCATACTTTATCATCTTGAGATCCGGAAACTGTACTGGCCAACAAAGATAGCTAAGTGTCTATGATATTCTCTTCAAATACAAGTTGAATGCGGTAGACTGGGGAATTTTTATCCTTTAAGACGGAAATACACTATTGCTGGGTGGGCATGATCGACAGTATCATTATATAGTATTCGTATTCTAAAGGAATCAAAGACGCCAACTATTTTCGCATTATGTACCATCTCCATCAGCTTGTACTATTGATTAGCGCTAAAAAATTGGAATATTTTTCGTGGTTTCCTCCATATACATAGTCTACTGTTTAGTACTTGAAAGAGTGAAATACAACTCGTCAGAATAGCACCACACGCTTACAACCTTTCATTGTCTGTTTATATATTTGTGATAAGAAGTTTTCAGATTGAAGTCGTCTGTCATAGGGTAATTTTTGTAATGTTCTTTCTAAGGTGTAGTTTAAAATAGTCGAAAAATTATCAGTGTTGATGGAATCAGTTGATTAACTCACATTTTTACAATTATTGTGCTTTAAAAGCTGTCATTCTTATGGTTTGTCATAAGTTGTTGGTGGCCACAACTTTTTAATTTGCTACGTTTCGGACGTATGCCATCCGTCAGGCTTAGCTACTAAGATGCACAATACTTAGATCATTTACAATTTATACATAAATACATGTAATTAGAAACTGAGCTCATGAAAATAACAGTACACGAGTCGCAATACAGAGTAAGATATGTGAAATAAAACACTGTGTTTACTAGCTTTGTCATACAGCAATTAAATATATATATAGTAACTAAAAAAGACCTTGAAGAGCTGAGACAGATAATTCAGGACAAAACTATACAATTACGTCACTAAATAAATGATATAATAGAAAGAGTTAAAAATTAGTGAAAATGAATATTGTTTCTACGAAGAATTTCAGGGGATTAGTTGTGCCAGTTGTCAAAATAGCGTTAGAAAAGGTGTTATAAAAGTGATTTAAACGGAAGTTGTAATTACTTAAAAGAGAATCCTTGTGGTGTCAGAGAATTCAATTTAAATATAATCTTGTGTTCTAAGTTTTCTTGTTCAAGTTTGTTATGGAGAGGGTGGTAGTTATGAAACAAGTACGCTCAAGTTGTGAATTACATTATGGTTTGGGGACTGGATGGTTATGGGTGCCATTGCATAAAACTCGAAAATGTTCCCAAAATCTACCACCTAACCTGCGTATTTTTTCTCAGATATAGATTTGGTTGTATCTAGTACAATCACTGTAATAAATAATACACACTAATGTACAATTAAATTGGCCTTTTACGTAGAATGCAGATGTAGTACCAGAGAGAGAGAGTCGTAAAGTTAGTGGTATAATTGTATGTGAAGCAAATAGTTCGTTCACACGATCGAGTTCTATTAGTCTATGTAGATGAAGTCACTTCATTTTGTAATTTAGAATGCAAAGTTGAAATCCATAAAGGAGGGGGGGGTAGTAAATGTTTCATTAGATGTCTACTATTAATAAAGTTACGTTGAACTATTCTGCTAATCTGTCTTATTAATTGAGATAAACTGACTGTATCAAGTTTAATTTTATCATTGATGCTATCGGAATAATTCTGTTGTTTAGAATAATTAGTCTTATCCTTACCTTTACAATTGAAGTTAGCGTTGTGAGAGAATAGAAGTTTCAAATGTAGAAATTGTCGTTTGGGAATAGCGTGTTTAATTTCAAAGGGATGGATAGAACCAAATATTAAATAGAAATGACTGCCAGTAGGTTTCTAATGCATGTTATTTGTTAGTGTAGGTATGGAAGTATCAATAACGTTTGTAATGCATGCTATTTGTAAGTGGAAGTATGGAAGTATCAATAAAGTTGGTAATGCATGCTATTTGTAGTGTAGGTATAGAAGTATCAATAGGGTTTGTAATGAATGCTATTTGTTAGTGTAGGTATGGAAGTATCAATAACGTTTGTAATGCATGCTATTTGTAAGTGGAAGTATGGAAGTATCAATAAAGTTGGTAATGCATGCTATTTGTAAATGTAGATATAGAAGTATCAATAGGGTTTGTAATGAATGCTATTTGTTAGTGTAGGTATGGAAGTATCAATAAGGTTTGTAATGCATGCTATTTGTAAGTGGAAGTATGGAAGTATCAATAAAGTTGGTAATGCATGCTATTTGTAAGTGTAGATATAGAAGTATCAATAGGGTTTGTAATGCATGCTATTTGTTAGTGTAGGTATGGAAGTATCAATAAGGTTTGTAATGCATGCTATTTGTAAGTGTAGGTATGGAAGTATCAATAAGGTTTGTAATGCATGCTATTTGTAAGTGTAGGTATGGAAGTATCAATAAGGTTTGTAATGCATGCTATTTGTAAGTGTAGGTATGGAAGTATCAATAAGTAATGTATGCTATTTGTTAGTGTAGGTATGGAAGTATCAATAAAGTTTGTAATGCATGTTATTTGTTAGTGTAGGTATGGAAGTATCAATAAAGTTGGTAATGCATGTTATTTGTTAGTGTAGGTATGGAAGTATCAATAACGTTTGTAATGAATGCTATTTGTTAGTGTAGGTATGGAAGTATCAATAAGGTTTGTAATGCATGCTATTTGTAAATGTAGATGTAGAAGTATCAATAGGGTTTGTAATGCATGCTATTTGTTAGTGTAGGTATGGAAGTATCAATAAGGTTTGTAATGCATGCTATTTGTAAGTGTAGGTATGGAAATATCAATAGTGATGTTTAATTAGTTAAAATTCTGAATAGAAATTTGAGAAGTAAATTTAAGTAATGGGTTTCAACATAGTGAATAAAATTTCGAGTTAGTTTTTGTGAGAAGACCCAGAATGTTGACCGATATACCTGGTAAAAAATGCAGCGGGTCGTGAGAGGCAATACTGTAAGTTTGTTCTTATATGTATATGTACATCTATATCCGACAAAAAGGTTTGCATAGAATGGTCCCACTTTGGTTCCTATGGCAACTCTATGTAACTGTTGATATGTTTGTCTGTACTACATCGGTTAACTAAAATCTGGTGTCTGTTGGAGGATGTAGGTTGTTTTTTTTTTCGTTGAGAAAATGTTTAAGTGCGATCAACTCGTTGTTGCGTGGTATAACGGAATGTAGAGAGTGGACGTCAATAGTTGTGTGGTATAACGGTGTGTAGAGAGTGGACGTCAATAGTTGTGTGGTATAACGGAATGTAGAGAGTGGACGTCGATAGTTGTGTGGTATAACGGAATGTAGAGAGTGGACGTCAATAGTTGTGTGGTATAACGGTGTGTAGAGAGTGGACGTCAATAGTTGTGTGGTATAACGGAATGTAGAGAGTGGACGTCGATAGTTGTGTGGTATAACTGTGTTTAGAGAGTGGACGTCAATAGTTGTGTGGTACAACGGTGTTTAGAGAGTGGACGTCAATAGTTGTGTGGTATAACGGTGTGTAGAGACTGGATGTCCATCGTTAAAATGTAATCAATTGTTGAGTAAAGAGATAGATGGTTTCTTTATCATTTGTAGAGGGGGTGCCTACTAGTGGTGGAGAAATACTCTTGAGGTAAGTGGAGATTAGTTCCGTGTGTTACTTATAAGCAGAGACTAAGTGTTTCTTTACTTTGTTTATTTTTAGTAGCTAAGCCTCACAAAGAGCATACGCCCGAAACATAGCAAATAAAACAAGTTTTCGTTATAGAAGTATATAGTAACATTTTCTAACATTTCTTTCAATACTTTTCGACATCTTCTGCAATATGTTTTGCAAACTTCGATTTGAACAACAATTAAAAAGAACAGTATTCATGATGATTGTACTATTAAACTGGTAACAACTAAAACAACTCTTTGAAAGTTTGAGAAATACTTCTATTAGTCATAGTCTATGAATGTGAGTATGTGGAGGGAAGTGATCTAAAGAAGTGATCAGAAAATGTACTATCATCTGCACTTTTCTCTCTCACTGATTCTTACAAAATATATCTAAATGTGATATCAATAATGAAACAAGACAAAACAAGGTAACATTTGCATTTTTATTTTTAATTCTCCCATAATTTAGGTTATAATTAAGTAGTTTTATTAATAGTCCAAGTTCACCGTTGCCCTTGGGAACGAAGTCCAAACGTTTCATCATTGATATTTTGAGTTCTAATACTACTCTAAAACACATATTCTAAAAGTTTGTTTTGACTGTTGTTAAGCACAAAGCTTCTTAATGAGCTATCTCTGCTCTGATCACTACGAGTATCGAAACCCATTTTTTTAACTTCGTAAGCTGCAGGCATACCACTGAACCAATGGGGTGGGGGCTAGTCAAAAAGTAGGTTCACTTAGAGTTCATTGTGCAATATTGCTTTAGAAATATTTACCTTCATTATTTGAGTAAAATTAAATATCTTATACTCAACATACTTAGAGTTAACAAATAAAGGATCTGAAATACTGTTATTTAACTTGAAATCACAAATAATGATAGATATATAAATAGTAAAAGTAATTTACTGTGCATAGTCAGCCAAAAATTATCAGTCTTGCCATTTTGCACTAATAACCTCAGTGTTTTATATCCCTGATGATACTGTGCCAGGAGATTTTTGGTGATGATACTATTTTATAATAGTTCTACCAGCCTTAATGTTTTAAATCTCTGATGGCACTGTGTCAAGTAGGTTTTGGTGATGATCCTATCTTATAATAGTTATATCAGCCTTAATGTTTTACACCCTGATGACACCGTGTCAAGCGAGTGTTGGTGATGATACTATCATATAATAGTTCTATCAGCCTTAATGTTTTACATCTCTGTTGACACTGTGTCAAGTGTAACGAATTTATTATTATATATTTATTTTAATAAGAACATTTATTTAGATTAAGTTTATATTTAAAAACATGCATAGCTTATAGTGTTAAATATATATTACGAAATTCCCTCCTATTCTACAAAGCTGTAGAAGATGCTCAAGAGTAAGAATCAACAATATGTGCATATACGTAAATGCTTACATTTGTATTGTTACGTAATCAAAATTTTCTAGAAAGCCTCCACACGGCTATAAATATAACCAACGCGACGCGCCAAAGGAAGTATCTATTATTAGTTTACTACAGACAGTGTGCTATAAACTTTGGAAGCTATAACTGTGATTGATATAACGCTTATCAATCGGAAAACTTCAGATATTTGACCAATAATATTTATTAATTTCGAACATCACAAACCATTTAACTTCAGTGGATTCTCATCTGACATTAGTATTTTTACGAAAAAAATATATAACGTCACAATGGAAAACCTGGTGTGTGTGACTGATAAATAACAAAGGACAGAGCTAGTTAGCTTCCCGTTAAGTCATTTATACCTACGTCAACTCGTAACCACCTCGCTCATCGTGAACCCTCGATAAGATATCGAAGAAGTTCCAGACTAAAAGGAAGACTTTATA